TCATGAAGCATTCCTTAATTTTCTTAACATTAATTAGTTCTTTAGCTTGTTAATAGTAAATTTTGAAAAGTATTTCGAATTTTGTTTTCTATGGCTCAATGCAACTCTAATTTGAAGTTGGTAAATTTTTCTTTCAAAACTTATAAGAATATAACATGCTTTCATTATTTCTAAACGTGTGCTAAATATTCTCAAAATTCTCGAGTAATAAAGTAATTGATTGTAAATACTGGAGATGGTTTTTTTTATATAATTAAAAGAATTAATATTTAATATTTTTTAACAAAGCAAATAAATACAGAAATAACTTGAACGAATTTCAGAAATCAAAAAGATGCTTTTGGAGGGAGCTCCACGCTTATTTAGATTAAAATGTGAATGTAATTATAATATAAATATATACATACATATACAAAGAAATTGATATAACAACATATGTAAAATAAATAATTAGTATTTATAAGAAAAAAAAATAATACATAGAATAAAAATTGCATAAAGAAAATTGACAAGTGTGAATGACGATAACTGTAAAAACTCATATTATTGCCAGGGAAAAAAAAAAATTACAATCAATCTTCCGTCACTATTATTTCTATTTTTAATTCAGAATCCTTTTCTCTGAATTCAGATTGCTTGGCTAGATTTTTATCATCGCCATCAACAACAGCTTTGAATTCTTTGGATGAAATGGATTCTTTACAAGCACAAATTACCCATCCAACAACATTACTTGGGATTTTAAGTTTATTTCTATGAATTTTTATCCGAAATATACACCCCAGTGAAATCATTATTATATATATCCATACTAATAAACAATAAGAATAATCGATTGAAACGCATGGAATATTTATTCGTACAGATACTTCTTCATCTGTTCCTGACTCTACATCTTTCACAGTTTGATATGATGCCCAATGCTCTGGTGTATACTCATATATTGAAGTGTCCTTACCCCTTACGACTGCTGAACTCCATTTTCTTGCAACAAGGTCACCTGCTACCTCCAAATATGAATTAAAGTACATATTATGACTGCCATGATTACCTTCTTTAACGCGTTTAACCTCACATGTGTACGCCTTAACAACAATGGGTACTGATACAATTTCACTTATTTCAGGATGACTTGGCTGATAAGGAATTCTTGTGGTTTCTGGCACCCTAAGTGTCCACATTCTGAATATTATGCCAGCACCAATCTCACTAAAGTTTCCCCTCTCAAAAAATTCCATTGCTAATATCAAAGCACCATTTGCCCGATAGTCAGATTGATCCGTACTCGTATAGTTCAAGTAAATTGTGCGGTTGTAATAGACATTAGTCCTAAAGTCATCATCTGTATAATTGTATCCATCGGGAGTGTTACGAAATATATATTCAGAATGTACCTCTGGCAATAATTCATATAAATTACCCAATCCATGCAATACAGAAGTGTTCATATTTACTTGGGTCATTCCAGATTTATAGGTTAAACATGAAGATCTCAATGGATAAGGATCAACATCAAGTTGAGGATCAAATCTCCAACGAGAATCTACTGGAACTTGTCCTACTAGTGTTCCATCCGATAGACTACTATTTCTTCTTCTCTGCATCATCGCATCTACTTCAGCATGGGACCAAAGTACTGCTGTATTATCATCATTGGTAATTTTTGCCTGTGTAATTACGACACTTGTGCCGCATAATTCAACCATACTTATAGTGTTTAGAACAATAACACCTTCAAAACTTGTCAATACTAGACCAAATATAACCACCAAACAAGTAATTAATCTCGGTGTCAAGAACTTTATATTTAATATATAAAAAATATCTACAAAGTTTGTTGGCACTACAGTCTCTAAAATTGGTATCGAACCCTTATTTTTGATTTGATCCAATGATCGAAGTCTTATAACAGTTGATAAAAAAAAGAACCATCCAAAGCCCAAGATGCTCAGTAAGAGTGCTGCAGCAATTTGTAAATGACCTAGAGGCCATGTAGTAGGGATTTCGTAACTCATTAAATTCACAATTATTTAATTTATAATTTGTGTGCGAGAAGCAAAAAAGATTTAGGATGAGCAATGCTTTTATACAAGTATCAAATTCCTAAAAGATATTGGTTATTCAATATGAAATGGATCAAGAAAAAGGAAATATTTCAACAAAATGAATGTGTGATACAAAATTAAAGTTCACAATATTTTGGACAACAAATAAATAAAAGACTCATCATATCAATATGAGCCAGTTTTTGTCCTGTAATACAAGTAGTTCAAATTTTGTTGTTTTTCAAAACAATGGCTTATCTCTTTTGATAAAAATGATTATTACAGCCTTTTGACTAAATATAACAAAACAAAAAATACATCAAAGATGTTGCTAAAAAAGTTCATTATCATTTAAAATCCATTTGATAATACGTCGCCCTCGTCGATTATTTTCGTAAATTATCAAAATTTAAACACATCGAAATTTAGCAGTGAAAATGAAATTATGTGAATTCGCAATTCAAATTTACATGTGTGAAATTCAAATTAGCCAATCAGAATTTCACCCCACTCCATAATATTTCAATTTCACAT